ACTGGGGAGTGCTCTTAGGCAGATCCACTCCCAAAAGTATTGGGGAGGGGGTTGAGGCGTGGCTCCAGCTGCTAAACCCAGATACCAATCAGCTTTTCAAATCAGCCCCCCAAACCGATCTTCCCTGCTCGGAAATGCCTCCTGTATGACCCAGCCCCTAGAGTCCGATCAAATTTTGCCACGGTGCTAGGAAGAGAGCTGGTCCCTGATCCCAGCACTGCCAACTCTCCTCCCAGATGTAATCTGATCACACTTAGACACAGACCATTACTGTTTTAAGCTAAATATAAAATGAAGCCCTGGTAAGTTCCAGGGCCCTCTTTCTGAGGGAACCCCCAAAAGGACCCATGGTGGGACAGTTCCTATGTCTCCCATGGGCACCAAAGCAAACCGCCTTTGGACTTGGGGAAGGGACAGGTAGGAAAAGGGTACGGTGTACCATAGAGACCCATAAGCCATAAGCCTATTCCTTTTTGGACTGCCACAGCAGATCCCACTGTGTCCAGGTTGAAATGTCAGGTAGTTTAAAAAGCACTATCCTTGCCTTGCCAATGGCAGTTACCACAGCCCAGCTAAATGGGAGAATAAAGGGTCAGGTACACAAGCACAACACTTGGGCCAGTAGAAAGAATGCTAAATGTGGAGTAGGACCTACCACCTCTGACACTTCCTAGCTACATATCCTAAATAAATCCCTTAACTTCTCAGTTTCTTCATCCCTAAAATGAGGAGTTAGACAAAAATCTATTATCTTATGATCTCTGGAGCACATCTGAACTTGACACATTCCCTGCTCTCGACCCCCAGAACTCTTAGCTGATCTCGTACCCCAGTTTCTTCTCCTTCTCATGGCTGTTTATGGGATCAGGACTCAATCAAGTTGCAAGGCCAGACAGGGGGTGGGAAGCTGGAGCATGAGCCAAGGCTCTCCCAGCTGCTGAGAAATCCCAGCTATTCTGAGAATCTTTGAGATGACAGCATCCATTTCCCCTTCAGCTCCAACAGACACTTTGGATTATTTTCCTTGAGCATTTATGATCCCAAGAAGGTGACAGATTCCTGCAATCACAGGTCAGAGACACTCTCTTTACATATAAGGAAGAAGTAAGAAATGTCACACACAGATCAACCCTAAGCTGGAAGGTTTAAGTCAGAAATAAATCTCGTTCCTTAAAGAACCCCAAGCAAGTCTGGCAACATAAGTGTAGCAAAAAGTACCCTGGACTTGTATTCAGAAGAGACTTGAGTCTGAATCCCACCTCTGACATTTACCAATTGTTGGGTTGTGGTCAAATCAAATAACCTCTTTGAGGGTGTTTTCTTATCTGAAAAATGGCAATTATATTAATTATTTGCACTACCTAACCTCACAGGATTGTTGTAGGTAAACTTAGCCTTTTTGTTAACTCTTAAGCACTACATAAATGTGAGCTTATAATTACCATAAAGACTATTTTCATCAGAAAATATCAACAGCTCATCAATGTCTATGGGAAAAGGCTCAACTCTTTTATCCAGGCACTCAAGGCCACCTAGCATCTACCTGCCTCCTAACTGATGATCCAATCACAGGGACTTCAGAGCCCAACTCATATTTGAGTAGGAATCCCCTGAAGAACAATATCCTCAACTTCTGGTCATCCAGACTCCACTTGTCTCCTATTTTGCATTGTTCTCCTCCTACACTCTCTCTCTTCACTCTAGCCACACCAGTCTCTTCACTGCCTCCCCTCAAAAAACCTTGCACTTTCCTGCGTCCATGCCTTTGTTCACACCAGTCCTTCAACCTGCTGGGCCCTTCCCTCCATTTTCTCTCAAAATTCTAGAAATCTTTCAAGACTCCCTCTTCCAGGGAGACCCCATCTCAGTCCACAGTAATCTACCTCTCTTGAGTTCCTCCAGCCCCTAGCTACCGTTTTACTTACTAAGAACCTGTCACACAATCAAGTGATAAACATTATTAAGTCCCTGCTATGTGCCAGGCACTGTGGTTAGCTCTGGGGATACAAAAAGAGGCAAAAGACAATCCCTTGCCTTCAAGGAGCTAACAACCTAAAGGAGGAGATGACACGCAAACAAATATATACAAGGCAAGCTATATACAGGATAAATAGGAAATAATTAACAGGGGGAAGGCACTGGAATTAAAAAGGGTAGGTGAAGGCTTCCTGCAGGAGGTGAGATTTTTAGCTTGAGACTTAAAGGAAGCCAGGGAGGTCAGTAGTCAGAGTGGAGAAAGAAGAGCATTCCAGGAATGGGAAAAAGATAATGCCTAGAGCTAAGAGATGGAGTGTCTTGCTCATGGAACAGCCAGAAAGCAAGCAGGACTGAAGAGCACATGTTGAGAAGTAAGATTTAAGAAGACTGGAATGTTACGAGGGGGCTAGGTTATGAAGGGCTTTGAAGGCCAAACAGCATTGTGGATTTGATCCTTGAAGGCAATAGGAAGCCACTAGACTTTATTGAATTGGGGGGAGGGGAAGAGTGTCTTGGTGTAACATGATTAGACTTGTGCTTTAAGAAAATCACTTTTAGCGACTGAATGGAAAATGGGCTAGAGTGGGGAGAGACTTGAGACAGGCAGACCCATCAGCAGGTTATTGAAGTAATCTAGGTATGAGTTGATGAAGGCCTCCACGAGAGTGGTGGCAGTGTCAGAGGAGAGAAAGGGGCATATTCAAGAGATGCTGCAAAGGTGAAATCAACAGGCCTTGGCAACAGATTAGATATGGATATATAAATGTTTATTGACTGATTGTGTGACAGGTTCTTAGTGAGTAGAACGGTGGCTAGGGCTAGAGGAACTCATAAAAGACAGATCACTGTGGACTGAGAGGGGCTTTCCCTGGAAGAGGGAGTCTTGAAAGACTTCTAGGATTTTGAAAGAAGAGGGAGGGGAGAGCCTAGCAGGTTGAAGGAGTGGTGTGAACAAAGGCATGGAGGTAAGGTTGGTTTTTGTTTTGTTTTGTTTGGGGGGGGCAGTGAAGAGACAGTAATAATGAGGAGTCCAGGATGACTACACAGGTTGAGGGACTAGGACGATGATGTTGCCCTCAATAGGAACAGGGAAGGGCGGGGGAGGGGAGGGTTTAGATGAAAAGATAATGAGTTCAGTTTTAGAAGTGTTGCGCTTCAGATTTGTACTGGACATCCAATTTGAGGCAGCTGGAGAAGTGAAATTAGAGGTCAGCAGAAAGATTGGGGCAAGAAAGGTACATCTGAGAATCATCAGCATAGAAATGTAAATTAAATCCATGGGAGCTGATGAGATGACCAAGTGAAGTAGTATAGAGGAAGAAAAGAAGAGAGCCCAAGACAGAATCCTGAGAGACTCCTGCAGTTAGAGGGTGTGATCTGGAAGAGGATCCAGCAAAGGAGACAGAGAAGGAGTGGTCAGATAGGTAGAAGGAGAACCAGGAGACAGTGGTATCCCAAAAACCTTGAGAGAAGAAAGTACATAAGAGGAAAGAATGATCAATAGTGTTAAAGGCTGCAGAGAGGTCAACAAGAATGAAGACTGAGAAAAGGCCATGGATTTGACAACTAAGAGATCATCAGTAATTTTGGTCTAGTATGGATACTTTTCACATGTATATGTCTCAACATCCCAATTCTGTGGTAAGCTCTATGCCTTACACACTTCTGCATCCATCTTGTACAAGTAAGATGCCCAGGAAGTAGTTGCTGACTGACTGCCATTTTTTTTTTCTTTGATCAAGAGTCTGCTCTGGTCCAAAGTACTCTAAAACACTAGGGCAGAGGAGGGTCAAAACAAAGTCATTTAAACTCACACAGTTTGGTCTTATGCTGAGGGTCTATCTGAGGGTCTTCTCAATACAACCTGAAACTTCCCAAAAGGCAACCATTTGTGAAACCTACAGAAAAGAGAGCCTCAACAAGGCCCTATTAGTACCACAAGTTCCTACAACTAGGCCTGGGACCCACTTCTAGAGGGGCTCAGAAAAGTATCACACTTACAGAATCACAGAATCTTGGAACTGGAAAGGAGCTCCAAGGGTGTCTTAGTCCAACTAATACTAGAATAAGGATCTCCTCTACAACATCCCCAACAAGTGACTATTCAGCTTCTACACGAAGACCTCCAGGGATAAAAAGCATGCAACCACCTAAGGTGGCCCTTTCCATATTGGGACAATATAAAAATTAAGAAATTTTTCTTTATGTTAACCTTAAATCTTCCTCTCTGTAATTTTAATGTACCTTTCCTGCTTCTGCTTTCTGGACCCTTCTCCCATCTCAGATTATCAATCTACAGCTGGTAAAGGACCTCAGAAACTAGCCATCTAGTACAACCCTCTCATTGGACAAAGAGTCATAGGACTAAGAGCTAGAAAAGGTCTTACGGATCACCTAGTTTAACCCTCTCATTTTACAAACAGGGAAAAAGAAATAGAAAAGGTAAGTTCACACAGGTAAATAAGCAGCAAAACCAAGATTAAAACCCAGGTCCGTGGACACCAAAGCCAGTGCTTTTTCTGACATATTATATTCTTTAGCCAAACAAAGCAGAAATTCTTTTTCCCTTCCTCTTCCTCCCCTTCCCACCTTCACCATCACAAGATATGTGATACCCTGATATTGTTGCCACTCCAAACCTTAAGAGAGGGTCTATTGTGCCCCTATTCTCACGGAGGAAAGCCCTGCCCACATATTCAAGGTTCCTTTACATAGCTTGTTCAACCTATGTGCAAGTCCCTTGCAGCCCCCTTCGGCAAAAAGTCCAACCCTGACTAGGAGATATATAAATAGTTCCTGGGCTCCTGGGGGGGGGCTATGCCCACAGGACACAAAAACCTCTCCCCAGAAAACGGAGGGCTCCGAGTTCCTGCTGAGACACTCAATGGCTTAAAATACAATCAGACCCTGTGCCCAGCCAGCTGCTGTGGTGAAATTCAACCCATGCCCTTGGCATGATACCCTGGCGCCAGGTGGGAGATCGTAGGACAGCCAAAACCCAGGCTTGTAAGGAGGAGCCCAGCACATAGGAAACAGCTTGCTAGACCACTCACTCTTAGTGTTTGCCATCCACCAGGAAGGGAGCAGTCCTGTAGGAAGCCCCAGCTCACAAAAAAAAAAAGGAAATCAAGAACCCTGAGAGCAGCAGAACAGCTCAATGACAACACGAGGTAAGGAAGGAATCATGGCATGGTGGAAAATACTGAATTTGGAGTCAGAAAACCTGGGTTCAAATCCTGGCTCAGCTACTTACTATTTATAGTCAGCTACTGATTATTCTTAATAAATGTTTCTCGACTGATTGATGTAACCTCAGAAAAAACATAATCTCTCTGGGCCTCTGCTTAATCTCTAAAATGAAGGGGTTGAACTAGATGATATTTAAAAGATTATAAGATGTTAAGATTTAGAGTTAGAAAGGACCTCAGAGATCAGCTAGTGTAATCACTTCATTTTATAGTCCAACATAGTCTATTCATTTGTCAGATGGAGAAATTAAGGGCCAGAGAGAAAGGACTCTTCCAAGATCACACGGCCAGCAAGTACTTGGTTGCTCTTCTACCTATAAAAAGTCCTATGATTCTAAGTCTCTATGACACCTCTGCCCAGTCCTGAAGCCAGTCCCAGTGATCTGGCTGCTACAAGCCTCCTACAGGTGTCTCCATTCAGCTATATACCCACCCAGAATCAGGAATAATATAGTTGCTTATCCTTGGGGCAGCGAGCGGGGAGGAGTACTTCTCAGGATCCCTCTTTTTCCATGGCCAAACCTTCTGACCAAGTAAATGCTTTCTCCCTGGGGAACAGAGGCAGGCTCAATGACTAAGAGACAAGAGTCCATTTAGCAAGAAAAGTACAAAGCACTGCTACAATCCCACCTAGCTGACCCCACTACAGCCAGGAATGGCCTAACAGAACAGAGTATATCATGGAATGACATTCTAGAAAAGGAAAAGAAGCAATAAAGAAAATCTTTTGGGGTTTCTGGAAGAGACCCACTATGTCCCAGAAAAATGTGAGAATATCTACAGGATAGTCCCTATAGGGACAGGACAGGCCTAAGGGCCTTGGGCTAGAGAGTTCCTGAAGTCCCTACCACCTCTAGTAATCTGTCATTCTGTGGCTTAAAAAGACTCTGCCTTCCTATGAAAGACCTGAAGGGAAACAGGACACCGTAGATGGGTAGGGAGTAAACTAGACATCCAAAATGGTATCAAACTAAGGCCACCAATGAGTTCTGTACAGAAAAATGAACTATCAGACATAACTGGGGGTCAGATGAGAGTATGACCAGAAGGAAGGCTAACAGAAGAAAAGGTTTTCATGGGGAAGACCCCATATAAGTGAAGCAAGTAGAAAAGGTTGAAAGACACAATCTCTTCTCCTTTTGACTGCTTGTAAGGTATATCAACTAGCCCTTTGTTGAATGAGATGGAGACAGAAGACACAAGGACAGTCCTGGAGCAGCCCTGGCCAGTGGGTAAGGGGTGTCTACCTGATGACAGTTCCAGTAGCCTTGGAGGAATTCTCACTTGAAAGGCCTGACATTCCAGTATGTAGCCAAAATGAACTCGTGCTAGCACAGAACTCCAGGCCCCATTTAAATTCATGGGACTGCTAGCAGCTGATTTTCTGCATGAACCCCAAGCAGAAAATTCATCTCTATGACACAGCTTTCTGTGCTCATTAGCGTAATAAGGTCAAAAATTCCCATCTCTCCCATCTCTATCATCACCACCACCACACATGATGTTTCATTAACAACAGAAGCTTCTAGTCATGACTGAACACACCTGGATCTCAGAACTGTGACTCAGTCAGCCCCATCCCCCCAAAGGGACTAGGAGGATAGAGAGAGTGAGAAAGGAAAAACAGCAGAGCATGGCAGGGCAGAGGTGTGGCCCATCTTGCAATTCATGGTTACAACAGCTGTAGCACTCCAAGAAGTTCCTGGCAGGGATGAATGCCCAACTCAAATTACCCTGTGATCCTTGGCAAGATGTTAACACAATCCTCCCTAGGACCTTCTCCCCTAGACTCTGCAGTGACACAATACAAGGGAAAATAGACCAGGCCAGGGAAAGGAATAAAAGCTCACAGCAGCTGATCTGAGGGGGATGACAACTTCTCAAACCCACCGGCTGCCCCAAGTTAGCAATGAGTCCTCTCTCTGAAGGCCAAAGGTGATCCACGTCACCATGGGACAGCTCACCGTCTTTCCCTCTGCTGCCACCTACTGTTCTTAACTAGCCCATACACCTCCTTTAAGGAAATAGAGCCAAGTAAAAGCCAATGAGAATTAGGCTGTCAGGTTTTGTTACCACCAAAAAAAAAAGATGAGAATACAGGTCAGAGATGTCACCACAAATATGTGTACGTAGACGTATGTATGTGTGTATATGTACATGCACATATGTATATATTGTGTATGTGTGTATACACATGTACATGTGTGTATACATGTGTGCATGTGTGTGTATACATACATACACAAACTTTTTTTTTCCAGCTTGTTGTTCAGTTGTTTTTCAGTCATGTCTGACTCTTGATGACCCAATTTGGGGTTTTCTCACCAAAGATCCTGGAGTGGTTTGCCATTTCCTTCTCCAGCTCATTTTACAGACAAGGAAATTTAGGCAAACAGGGTCACACAGCTAGTATCTGAGGCCATATTTGAACTCAGGTCTTCCTGACTCCAGGCCTGGCTCTATCCATTGCACCACCTAACCAACACAGATAGATAGATAGCTAAACAGACAGACAGACATATAGACATATATGTGTATATATAGATATATAAAACTTTTAAAAGTTTGCAAAGTGCTATCCTCACAACAGCTCAGTCAGTATTTGTATCTCTATTTTGCAAATAAGGAAAATGTACCTCAGGAACTCAACTGACTTGCCAAGGTCACACAGCTAGCAAACACAAAAGCAGAAAATGGAACTCAGATCTACAAACTCTTCAACTAGGGCCTTTTTCATTAAACTGTGGCTACAGAGATGAAAAAAGAAGAAAAGACTTACAAAGCAGATTTTGTCTCTTACACAAGACAGTCACGATGGCAGCAAAGCAAATAGCTCAGGAAACTATAGCTTTGGCCTGACAAGTTTCCCCTTTACATAGCTAAGGGATAACTTCACTGTGGGACTTGACTTTATGATACAGAAAGGTGCTTTTTAAAACACAAGCGTAAGTAAAACATTTATAGAGCCTTTGCTAATGAAGGTAGAAATAACAAAACCATGGTATTTGAATGGGACCTCAAAGGTCATTTAATTCAACCCACATTAAAATCCAAATCCCCACTACAATACCTTTGTCAAATGGTTATCTAGCCTCCAGATGAAGATATGTCAGTCAGTAAACATTTATCAAGGATCTACTAGGTGCCAGGCACTCTGCCAAGCACTGGAGATACAAAATGAGGCAAAAGACAGTGCCTGCCCTCAAGGAGCTTACACGCTAATGAGAGACAACAAGCAAATAAATATGTACAAACAAGCTATATATAGGATAAATAGAAAATAATTAACAAAAGCAAGGTTATTAGAATTTTTTTTATTTTGCACATCTTTATTAATTTATTGTGATTTATCAACAATCACTTCCATAAGCTTCTGAGTTTCAAATTTTTCTCCCCTTCCCTCCCCAAAATGGCATGCAATCTGACATAGGCTATATTATATACATTCCTCTTAAACATATTTTCACATTAATGATGTTGTAAGCAGGAATTAGAACCAATAGAAAGAGGAAACAAAATACAAAAGAAGAAAAAAATAGCAAATAGTATGCTCTGATCTGCATTCAAACTCCATAGTTCTTTCTTTGGATGTGGATAGCATTTTCCATCGTGAGACCTTTGGAGATGTCTTAGATCCTTGCACTGCTGAGAAAGGGCTAAGTCTGTTAACATTAGTCATTGCATAATGTGGCTATTACTGTGTACAACATTCTCCTGGTTCTGCCCACTTCACTCAGCACTAGTCCATACAAGTCTTTCCAGGTTTTTCTGAAGTCCACTTGCTTATCATTTCTTATAGCACAATAGTATTCCATTACATTCATATACCACAACTTGTTCAGCCATTCCTCAACTGATGGGCATCCTCTCAATTTCCAATTCTTTGCCACCACAAAAAGAGCTGCTATAAATATTTTTGTACATGTGGGTCCTTTTCCCATTTGTATGATCTCTTTGGGACACAGCCCTAGAAGTGCTATTGCTAGGTCAAAGGATATGCACATTTTTATAGTTCTTTAAGCATAGTTCCAAATTGCTCTCCAAAAGGGTTGGATCATTTCACAGAAGGTTATTAGAATTAAGAAGGATTGGGAAAGAGTTCCAAGAGAAGATGGGATTTTAGATGAGACCTGCAGAATTCCAGGGAAGTCAAGAGTCAGAGACAAGGAGAGAGAGAATTCCAGGCATGGGGGACAGCCAGAGAAAATGCCTGGAGATGAGAAATGGAGGGTTATTCATGCAACAGCTAGTGTCGCTAGACTGAAGTGATAGAGAATAGAGTATAAGAAGACTGAACAGGGCTGGGGGGAGGTAGTACATAATAAAAGGTTTTGAATGTCAAACAGAGGATTTTATCCTTGATCCTGGAGATAACGGGGAAACACTGTAGTTTACTGAGTAGAGAGAGGAGTGGCATAGTTGAACCTGCATCTCTAGTGACTGGAAATTCACTATCTCTTGAGGAAGACCATTCTACTTTGAGCCACCTCTAATTGTTAAGTGACTCTCTGCAGTTTCCAAAGAATATTGTTTCAAGTTCTCTTTTCAAAAGCAAAGAACAAGTCTACTCCTCATTCTTTTTTAAGAGTCCTAGAAAAACCTGAAGACCCCTAATGCTTACCTCCACTGAGTCTGCTCGTCTCCAGGCTACATACACATCCCCACTTTCTTCAGTCAATCTTTGTATGGCAGACTCTCCATTCCTTCCATCAACCTAGAAGTCCTCCTCTTAACCTGCTCAATTTTATCAATGGCTTTCCCAAAATGTTAACAAACCAGAATTAAAAGGATGTCTGACCGGTGTAAAGTTCATCATGATTATCACCTTGCTCATTCTGGAAACCATCTAAATTTAAAAAAAAAAAACCTCACCCTTCCTTTCAGAATATAAGCATAGAGGGTTAACTAGAACAAGCCCTGTGTCCAGGAATCCTAAGACCTTTCGTTTGGCTTCATTAACCCTTCTAATCTGTTAGAAGGGCCATCAGGAGACCTTCATCTCCCCCCCAAAGCAGAATGAGCAGCCAGACTTGTCCAAAAGTCTCTTAGGGACCCTGGTATCTCACAACAAAGTGAAGTAGTAGAAATGCCTAACTTTTAAGGTTTACCTGGAGAGCAGTCACACCTTCCTAAAGCCACACAGTCACCACTTATAACAGAAACCTAAGCTGGTTAGGCCATGGAATCTGATAGTTCCCAAATGTCCAGGTGAGGAGAGAGGATAATTACTCTAAACATGACCAAACTGAATAGAAGTGTGATGACATAGAAAGAGCAATGGCCTTGCAGTTAAGAGAATTGGGCTAATCCAAGGTGTAAAGAAACTAAGAGACACTGTTTTTCAGCAATAAGGCCCAGCATGCAGGCTGTGCCCTGAGTTTGGCACAACAATTCTTTGCACTGACCCTCTGGATGATCTCAGTCACAGCAAAATCCTAGAATTGTTTCACACCAGCATCAGGTAGTCTCTGAGCTTAGATAATCCAGTCATGAAGCCCTGCTATGAATCAAACTTGTCACACTTGCTGTTAACCCTCACTGTCGGGGCCACAACTCACCGTGTAGCCATTGGTATAAGTAGAGGTCTCCTCACACTGCCTCAGGCCCGACCCCCTACTAGGAGGGGGATCCTTCCTTGCAACCTTTTCCTCACTTTGAAATTAAACCTCTGTTTGATTCTTTATTCTCCTGTCTCCCCTGCTTTGTTCAGCTCCAGCCACTCACAGGTTGGAGACTGGTTCTGGTCCAGTTGACAAAGGTCTGCCACTAAAGAGTTGTGGCCATGGCCTAACCACCTCCACTGTCTAAGCTTCAGTTTTCTCCCCTTTAAAATAGGGGAAATGAACCAGATGACACAGAAGATCTCTTCCAGCTCAAAAAGGATGAAGTTCTTGGTAATCCCATTCTAAACCCAAACTTTTTTTTTATCATAGTGTCCTAGCCTGTCTCTTGGTATTGCACTTCAAAGGTATACAACAAAATCAAAAGATTTGGAAGTGAGACCCTAGCCCAGCCCTTTTATTTTGTAGACAGGCAAATTAAAATATATAGGGGTAAGTATTCAAGGTCACACAGGTGCTAAGATCTGAATCCATGTTTTCTGACACCAAGCCAGTGCTCTTACAACATCACAATGTCCATACCTTCCAGGTGAATGGATACAGGAGTAGACCAGTGGAAATTGCACATGAACTTCTAGAAGATCTCTGAGAAGCAAGCATTTATCATTCTAATGTTTTCCAAGAAACAAACATTCTCAGAAACCAAAAGCTCTGGCTCACAGCCTCAAAGTCAAGACTAAACCCTGACACTAATAAGAATCTTCTGTCCACCCTCTCTCTCCTCACCTGCATCCTAAAGAATGAAGCTATTTTTGTTCTTCCTAGGACTTTCTGACCCGCCTGTGATGCATCTATCCACCTAACTACAATGGCACCATGCTGGGGACAACTACAGAATCTGCAGCAGTCAGAAAAGCCAGTTCTTCGGGTATGTGCTGGACTAGTTGGTCACAAATGGCCCTCTGAACTCTAAAATTCTGTGATTCTGAGCAACAGGCCACTAGCAAAGCTAAAGATCTCCTGATGTAAGAAATCATTCTGACATCTAGTGGCTGTTTTCCTTTGTTCAAATCTATAAAAAAGATCTCATGTCTCCCCCTCAGTCTAGGATCTGGGCAAGCAGAAGGGTTTGAAATCTCCATGTGACAACAGAGTGTTTTGAACCTTAAAATGAAAAATGACACCTCAGTCTAGTTTTATTACACTGAGGATGCTCTCCGAACAGAGTAGGCCATTGAGGTAGGACTAAGAGAGTTAGCAGTAAATGCACAACAGAAATACATAGTTCCTTCTATGTGACATACTGCCTTCCATACATACCAACATCATTCGTACATTTATTAGTGGAGGGGGAGGAAGTCACATTTATATATAGTGCTTTGGGGGATTATTTTTAGCCTTAACGTGTGATTTCATCACTGTGGGGAAACTCCATCATGGAAATTCTCTCCACCAATGCAGATCAGTAACTCATCTATAATTTAGTCTTGGAGAATTGACTGGGCCACTGAGGTTAACTGACTTGCCTACGATCTGTATACACTAGTGTAAGAAGCAGATCTTGAAAACACTGACTCCAAGATCAGCTCTTTTATCCTATACTATGCTGCCATAAACATTTACTGTCTAGAAAAAAATAATATAATGGTTTATCATATAACTCTTTATGTTTATAAGCTATTATCCTCACAATATCAGGTAACAGGTAGTGCAAAACTACAAAGAGGTTTATTTGCCAAGAGTCACAGAGGTAGTATGCTTTGCTGCTAAGATCTGAACCCAGGTACCCAACATTCTTTATTTCTACAATACTGCATTGACATAACCTCTAGATCCCAAAATCTCCTTGGACAGTCAGCCTTGGCCAGACAAACAGAATTCTAGTTTCTGAGTCTATATTACATGTTTAATTTCCAGCTAGGTACCATGCGTTATACAATGTTCTTTGCAAATAAGCTATACTTGCAAATAGCCAGTTGAAACTTAAAAAAAAAAAGTTCTTAGTCCTTGCCTGTATCTTTCCATAACCAAACTCTAAACAAGGGAAGTAATATAAACCAGACCACCTCAATTCAGGAAGTCAGAAAAACTTTGCTGCTTAGTACTGAAGAAACACTAGAGTACGGACACCTTTTCCTCCAGGAATTCCCCAAAATGATGACTCTCATTCACATAAGGCAAAGTGAAAATCCCACTTACGGCTAGGGGCAAACCTCACAAAAGAACAAAAGAAACTGCGACTGACTCAGTGAAACCAACTGAAGTTAAGACTCCACAGCCTGCTGCCTGCCAATTGGCTGCCACATCAAGTTATTTTTCCAACTCCAGGAAAACTATTCAAGTGGAGCTGAGGCATTCTAGGTTGCAATGAAGCACAAAGCTGAAATTCAGGCTCTTCCTAAAAAAAGAGGGACATAACTAGCTAGGATTATGAGCATCAAAGCCAACAACTGATGTGTTCGTTATAATGACCAAGCTTGGTGCTGGAAAAAGTTAAAAAACTGTACTTCCCAATCTTCGTTGAAGATAGGAGACTATGGATGTGGAACACTGCATATTGCATATGCAATCAGACATTGCCAACAAACTGTTTGCTTTTTCCCTTTCATTTTTAATCTCTGTTACAAGAGATGGCTTGCCTTGCAAGAGGGCAAATATTTAGAAATGAATGTGCCACCAATTAAAAAAAGAAAGGGAAAGAATCCGATACCTGGCCCTAAGTAAAACTTGGGGTAGTGGGTACCTCATTAGGGAAGAAGTGTGTGCAGCGAATTAAAAATAGCTATCAGTGGACCTAGAGTCAAGACAGCCCCAGTCAAGATACTAGCTAGGTATAGTCGAGAGCAAGTCACTTTAACTCTGAGCTCCAATTTTCTCATCACTAAAATGTGGACAAAAACACTGGTACTATCTAACTCACAGACGTCAGTGTGAAAGGAACTTTGTAAACCTTCAAGTGCTATAAAAATATGAATTCATAATATTTGGAGACAGGACAGCTGGGTGGCACAATACCAGGTCTGAAGTCATCAGGAAGACTCATCTTCCTGAGTTCAAATCTGCCCTCAGATACTTACTAGCTGTCTGACCTTGGGCAAGTCATTTAACCCTGTTTGCCTTAGTTTCCTCATTTGTAAAACAAGCTGGAGAAGGAAATTGCAAACCACTCCAGTATCTTTGCCAAGGAAATCCCAAATGGGGTCAGAAGGAATCGGACACAACTGAAACAAATGAACAACAAACAGTATTTGGAGATAACAGGATCAAAGTTTTAGAGCTAAGACCATAAACAGATATAACATCTAGCCTAACTTATTTTATAAATGAAGAAACTGGGGCATTAAGTGACTAACCTGAGGTCATACATGCATTCAGTACAGAAGAGTCAGGATTCAAACCCAGATATGCTGACTCCAAATCCAACACTTCTCACTGCACTGAAAGAAATTATTATTTCTCTCTTGTATTAATTATGCAATCAGAACCAAGGTTTTTCCCCTTTTCTACTTCCTCATCCAGAAATCAACCAATGTAGGAAATCTTTCTCAAATCTTTCTCCCAGCCAGAATGGCTAGATTTAATCAAAGATAGTCAAAGAAATTCTAAATTTAGATGAATGGGTGGATTCCTGATCACTGTGTTTGCTCACACGGGTCTTGGGAAAATATGGATTCCCCCTTTTGTCAGACAGGTGATATGGAAATTGATGTCTCTTTGACCAAGACTTGGGTGATACAATTGACAGTACCCCCAAGACTCACATTATAATATTCATTTTCTATTAATTATTTGTTAACCAATCAGAGTAGATTTTTATCTTCAAGCATGCCCCTTTATCAAAAGACTTTATAAATACTGAAGGTTCAACAGGCTCAGTCTCTTTGGTTACAGAATGAGCCTGTTTTGTTGACTACTTTCTAGATGTAGTCAATAAAACTGATTTTAATTTACCCAGAAACATTGTTTCTCAGAAAGTTTTAATTGTCACAGCATCAAACTGCCTCCCAAATCAAAGTCTTATATCTGAATTTCCCTTCTGCTTCTTGCTTGTTACCTCTCTGAGCTCAGATGTGATGCACTTCCTTATTAAGCCTCAGTCAAGTGAAGATGTTGAACCAGTGTTCTCTAAGGCCACTTCCAGATCAAAATACTCTAATTCTGTGAAGACCAAAAGAGTAAGTAATAGCTCTACAATCCCTGCCCTGGTCAAACCTCCTCTGGAATACTGTTTAGTTCTAAGTGTTACATTGTAAGTCACATTCTCAGTAATGTTGCTTTTTGGTCATTCTCTTCCTACCAAATGATCCTTCTCATCTCCTTTGGAGGATTATTATCCAAGTCTCACTCTCTATGCATGAATATACCCTAGGGCTCTATCCTTGGCCTTCTTCTTTGGGGTCTCTAACTCTGTGATCTTGAGCTGATGATTTCCAAATCCACATAGACAATGTCTCTGTCTCTCTCGGTCTCCCTCCCTTCCTCCCCCCTCTTTCTTCTTTTCTCCTTTCCTCCCTCCCTTCCTCTCTCAAATTCCATCCAGTTTCCACCTGGATATCAAATAGTCATCTCAAACTCAACACGTTCAAAATAGAATTCATTATCTTTTCCCATAAACCTACCCCACCTCCTAACTTTTCTGTTCCCATCAATGATCACCAGGCTTCCAGTCAGACACTTTCAAAAACTAGGTGTCACCCTTCACTCATTACCAATCAACTGAGGAGTTAGGAATGCAGTATAGTACAACAGAAAGAGTAGGGGTTGTGGAATCACAGGGCTTGCTTGGCTTCACATCCTTCCTCTGAGACTTATCAACCATGTGACACTGGGCAAGTCACCCTCCCTAGGCTTCAGTTTCCTCATCCATAAAATGAATCCCTTCCGGCTAATCCCATGATCCATTCTTTAAGTATCTCCACCAGGGTGTTGTGCTTGGTCAGGAGGAGCAGCAAAGGGCTCCCCAATGCAAAGAACAAAAACCAATGCCTTATTAAAAAAAAAAAAGCCGAGCACCTCTCAGCCTCAGAGTTTCCCCTGTGTTAACAGATTTGGGAAGGCCCAAATTTGCTACAGGAATTAGAATAGAGGGTTAGCCCTCAAGTTATTCTACTTCCCATTTGTCACCGGTATTTCCTCTCTGCTCTGGAACCTGTTAGGGTCACCAAAAAAATGAGAACACCTACTTAGTCAGAAACACTGTCCCCTCAATGGCTTTTCCTGCAAGACTTGATTTCTCCATCATCCCCTGAAATGCAGTTGCAACAGAATTATAGGGCTGCTGTACTGGGAACAGAGTGTTACTATGGCTAGAGGGAAGGGTTTGGAAAGTCTCTAGCCACCTACACCAAACACTCCCAATTACCAGGCTCTGGACAAGTCTAGTCTTGTCTTTGACTCCAAATCGCAAAATTTAAGTTAATGAATTCAAACCCAAACTCATGTTACTTATTAATGCAGGAGTATAATTCCAGCCTGGATCACTTGTTCATGAAAATTACAGCAAAATTCCAACTACAGTAGAGCACGACCCATCCATTTTTTTCTTTCTCTGCTAGAGATCCCCAGTTTTTAGGAAGATTATCTTCCATCTAAGATTTGTCAATTAAGTATGGTTTTTAGCTGTGGCAAGTGATCTTTCCTCCACTAAAGTCCTCTTCTGAGATCCCTCATTGTAGTGAAGCACATGCTCTGGCAGATCCTACCAAATTAAAGACTGAATATAGACCCAGCAAGAAACCATGTCTTATTATCCAAGGACCAGCCTAGCTACATTTGCAAATGTTCAACTCCAGAAGGTGGCCACTAAGACATGAGTATTTTTGGCAATAGCAACTCAGTTTGGCAACTGATTCCTGAGGCCACTCTTTATCTACTATGCCACACTGCTTCTCCAGTGTGCCACACCAAAGAAATCATAGACCTCTGGCAGTAAACTGGGTATGGACAGTCAAGGATCTTCCATTTTAATGTGCTAGCTCAGTTTCCCTATAAAATGAGAGGGTTAGATAGCATTTTAACATTTTATCAATGCTTTGGATAAAGTATAGC